TCTCTGATTGCTTTTCGAAAAATAGACAACTCTCTCTGAATTTAAAGACCGGATAATAAATGTTGATTCTTGTATTAAAAACAGTCGCTTTTTAAGACGTTCCTCTAACCTACGTGACTTACTAGTTACAGCTAAACTCCCTTCTAACTCGACTAATACCCATCTACAACTCCCTTCCGGTTCTTTCCGTTGTGGAAAGAATTGCGCTACTTGTCCTTACATTTCTGATGGACTTACTAACTATACTTTCTTCTCTACTGGACAAACTCACTCTATCAAATCTAACCTTACCTGTAACACCAAAAATCTAATTTACATGATTCAATGTAACCGCTGCAATTTACAATACATAGGAGAGACTAAACGACGCTTAAAAGACAGATTTAATGAACACCGCCGTACCATAGATAACCCTAATACCAAATCTAAACCTACTACAGTCGCTGAACACTTTCTCTCCTCTCCTAATCACACTGCTGACGACATGCAATTAATCCCCATTGAAAAAATATTTTCTAACAGAGACTCAATACGTAAGGCCAGGGAAGCTTTTTTAATCACAAAAGCTAGAACACTTGAACCCCATGGCCTTAACATCCGCGAAGAAAGATATTAGATATTTAGTTTCCCTGCATTATTTTATTCTATTGTTTTACTGTCAATCTTTGTTATCTCTCTGACGTATTTCCGTTATTACGCAAAAACTGTTAGTAGCTACTATATAACACGTATATCAATGTAAAATTTCCTCATTGTACCTGAAGAAGACTGGTTTGGCCAGTCGAAATATAGTACTTAAAAAACTTAAAAATCTACGTTGTATCGGTCTCTGCTTCTACAGTATATTTTCACTTGTTTTAGCCGATTAGATCACTTGTTGATCCAACGTACACCAGCAGGATTGTCGTCCACGGTTGCTTGCTTGAAAATTTTGCTTTTTAAGCGCCGAAAGTTGGTAATTTGCACAACGCTTGTTAATTTTAGGTGCATTTCCAGCCATTTCAGAGGACTTAAATTCACAATTTTCCAGGGGGGACATGCCCCTGGACCCCCTAGATGACTCACGCTGACGCGTTCGCATTAGCCCCCCCACTGAGTAAGGCTGATATAAGTAACGACTGTCGACGATGTTGCATTCACAGAACCAAAACAACCATATCACGACATCAGAACGAAATATTTTGCTTATTCATTCAATCTGGAACAAGCGAAATATAGCCACGTCTTATTGTGTTTACAAATAAATAATATAAAGCATTTCCATTTAAATATGAATTTAGTGCTATCATGACATATGATTTTGCCCCATAACAACTACAAGCAGCAAGAGAAGATGATCAAGGCTACGGCATCACGTTACTCGAACTGACCAATCAGGTAGCGCTCTTAAAACTGGATTGGAAATTAAAAATAGATTTAAAAAAAGTATAATTGATTGAGACCGAAATGTATAAATGTTAAAATGTCTGTGCTTTATAACTTAAAAACCCGAGAAAGCCAGTTAGTAGTTCCAATGTACAGTTACGAAGTTACAAAGTTCATTCCTTGGAAAGCTATTGCTTCTATTAGCGGAAAACTTTGTGATAATGATTTTCTTTTCAGGTGTTTTCTGGGTCATGTGACTTGGATATCCTCGATTATCAATGGTGTCAGTTATGGGTCCACGTCACTTTTGGAGTATTGCGGCTTATCAAATTCCTACTTTGCACTTTGAACGTTCAACGTCTATTTATTTATTTATTTATTTATTTATTCATTCATTCATTTGAATTTTGTTAGTTTGTTTGTTTATTTTGTTTATTTATTTGTTTATTTATTTATTATTTCAAAATTAGCCAATAAAGTCAGAAGTCTATGTTTTTGGGCTCCAGATTATGTTCATTAAAATTGCATTTTAGCTGGTTCAGATGTTTCCTTCCTTCTCTTTACAGATGCACCTCGTTGTAAAGTTTGTACATTTTAGCCTTTGGAGTTATTCTTATCAATTCTGAGTCAGTTGAGAAAACCCTCAAATCTAGCTCAGTAGAGATGTAGGACAACTCTGAGGCTTCTGACGCACAGCAAAATAATCCCATTCCATTATTTATCGCCCGCCTTTTCATCAAAGCTCGCTTTTGCTTTATGCTGAATGTAATTTAATAAGTTCCAATTTCCATAGAGCGATTTTCAATTGAGTATCGAAAGTAATCCGAAATTGGTTTTGCTTTACTACGTTCTGTGATTGGTTTAAAACTCTCGCGAAACCTACTCAACCAATCAGGTGCTAAACCAAAACCCATCATGGTTTTGTTTTGGTTTTGGTTTTACGACACTCAAATGAAAACCGCTCTATGCTAGTTGGTATAGACATATAGAGTCAAAATGAAAGTAACTGATACTGTTTGTGGGTACATAAATATCATATCACCACTCGTTTTAATTATCATATGTATTCTGATTGGCTAAAGCTTATTCAAAAACATCACCGAACCATTTTCTTTCCAGAATGTCAATCGACTAATTATAAAAACGATGGAAATGGTTTTGCCAATATTTCGGTTTTATTACAAAAACCTTCCGCAGGGCAACTCAACTGATTGGCTAAAGAATGTTCTCAACTTAACCCATTACGTGACATTTTCTTCTTTCGTTCATCAGTAATGCATGCCCCCAATGCTTACTTTATATTAATCACATAATTAAAAGTCTTTGTTTAAAAAAGGCTGCCACCAGCTCCTCAGTATTTGAATCATTAGTATTTCAGTCCTACCTTTATTAACGGCCTATTAACAGTTTTCTTAAGGAAAATGACAAGCGACTGAAACTTTCTTTAACAACAATCAATCTTTATTTTTGCTTAAATATAAAAAAGTATAGAAACGTTTTGTAAATGAATACATCTTTCTAGGCTTTCTAGTTTACAAAATGTCAACAGTATTGATTTATATTGATATTGATGTCTGTATTTAGTACAATGGCAGTTGAGCACTTTAAATAAAGGCTTGAAAACGTTTCATTATATTAGTTCATTGTTTTATTTTTGTGCTACCCAGAATATATTATCAAGAACCTGGTCATAAAAATAACTATCTGCGAATAAAGGCTTAGAAGGCTTAGAAGGCTTAGAAGTATGAGAAGAAACAGCTAGCGTGGCAATAGACAATCGTGTTAAGGACCAAAAAAACATGGCTTAAGGAGATGCATGTATAAGTAGTCAATTTATTATTATTATCGCTGCTGAAGCTGGCATATAATAAATGACTATCTGCGGTGTTCCATGGCACTAGAACATACATAAGAACAAGATTTTTCATTCGGGACTGAATTTTAAAACCATAACTTATTGTGTTCATATCACGCAAATGTTGATAGACGTCAAAGCATTCCTTTTTTTACACATTAAGAATTAAGCATTGATATGCTTGATATGATTTGCTTAAAATAACTACGCGGGGCGGCTACACGTAGTTCATAATCATTAATCAACTTAAATCCAAGAAAATTGTCTTATTCTCAAATTCTATAGAGAAAAATACGGATAATTTGCGTGTTGATATCAGTATTGAAGCTATTATTAATTTCTTAACTTTTCTTCCTTCTCTTCGCAGATGCACCTCGTTGTAAGTCTTTTCATTTTAGCCTTTGGAGTTATTCTTATCAATTCTGCGTCAATTAAGAAAAACTTCAAATCTAGCTCAGTAGAGATGCGGGACAATTCTGACGACCATGTGGCTTCTGACGTTCAACAAGATAATCGCATTCCATTGGTTATCGCCCGCCTTTTCAAGAATCATGGATACTGTTTGAGGCGTCTGTCTTCACTTGGTTAGAGAAAACGTTTTATCTATAAGTTTAGACCATATTAATAAATGGCTAACCTTGATTTTCAGCATTTGAAGAATCATGATTATATAACGATGACTGAGATCAGATCAATATGAGTCAGGCAATTCTAGTTCTTTTGCATGAGGCTATGAATAATGTCGCGTTACATTTCTTGTATTAATTTATGTTTACCTGATAATCCAATTCAAACATTCGAGAGAGTTTGGTAGAACTGGAAAGCACTTAAGTCCAATTTCACTCTTTTGTTTGCACCAGGTTAATTGGAAAATACGCACATGCGTTTTCTTTTTCTTAAATGTTAAATTTGAAGATCCAAAACTTTGTAACTTTATTGTTAACTTATTCATTCATACTTTGTTGTAGCTCCAGGAACACCGAGTGGCTTCAAGGCTTGGAAAGTAAAGTACAGCTCAGGTTACGTAGCAGTAGCCGATACGTTGTACCTTTTATTCACATGTGATGAGAACAATGCGGGGAGGAGAAGAATGAGACGATCGCCATCCCATGCAACCGTACCCCCGCCTCGACCATGTATCAATGACACAATGGAACCTACTCAGTCAGACGATGAAGAATAGATCGATAAACTATGTAAACTACTGTGCCACCAGTAATTAATGCACAACTCGTTATATTCTTTTGCTTTGTTATCCATAATATGATTTGATAATTTTCACACATTTGTATGTACATGTTATTCAACTTAGTTCGATATATCAATTATTGCTATTTTAGTACGTGGAAATCAGAACATGCAAGAATCAAACTATGGCAAAGAAAGTACTTAATTTAACTTTAAAATTACATTTATATAACCCATTTGACGTCACATTTAGAGAGCTTGCTTAACAAATAAAAATCAATTCATGACAGTTTTTCGATGAATTTATTCAGCAGTATAGCGCAGTGAAAATGTTTTTAATGTGTTTGTAATCAATCGTTTTCATACTTGCATTGTGACCATATTGGTGTTCACCTTTAGGAAATGAGTTATTTTCTTATGCAAACCGAGTGACCATATTGGTAAAATGAGTTATTTTCTTATGCAAACAGTTTCCCTAAATTGGAACATCAATATGGTCGCCGTCAAAACTTTCTTTTTGTTGAAGCAAATTAATCTTTAATAAAATAATGCTCGCGGTGTGTAAGCAATTTTATAACCTGAACAAATTTAAAGGATACAACGGGAATTCGAACCCATGCCCTTCACGATACCGGTGCGATGCTCTACCAACTGAGCTATGAAGCCTTGATTCGTTGGGAGCAGGTCAATTGTAGGTTCTAATATCCTGCATACGGAATATATGAACTGAGACATATATGAACAGCCGATTAAACATGAAATGATTGAAATAATCCTCGCAGTGTGAAAGCAATTTTATCGCAGAGGTCATGGGTTTGAATCCCATTTTAGCCTTGAAATATTTTTGGCTAAAAATGTAATTCAGTTGAAATTCCTTGCACATTGCGAGGATAATTTCATTCATCTCATCTTAAATTAATACTGCAGTAAAGTTTATTTGTTTTAAAGTTTATTTTATTTTATTAGTTTATCAGTTTTATTTACTTCAATGCAGCAAGGATTCATTCTTCAATTTAGTTTTGTTTTCCAGTTTTATTGTCAGGTTTCCTGCCTTCGAAAAAGGTTTAGAACTATTGAATCACGTCAATTTCATACTTTGGTAAACAGCATGCAAGCAAACAAATAGCTAAGCTTTAACTTTTTTTAAATCAAAGACGGTTTATTTTTCCGTGCTTACTTAAGGACGTTCGCGCCCAATTCTTCCCACGTTCAGATTTTTTTTAACTTTTGCTGCAGTTAGATAATGACCAACTCATGTCAGAAAGGCAAACAAATTGGGGGTCACCGTGCTCGTTTCGGAGATAAAGCGCATTGAAGACCGTAGTGTTTCTAGAAGGTTTGATCATGTGAAGCGATATCGGCTTCAATGCTATCAGCAAAAAAAAAAGTAAAATGGAGAACTCTAGATAAGATTGATGTGTTGAATTCAACGAAAATAGGCCTATTAAGTAAATTTTTGCAGCTGATGTCATTCCTTTAGGTAAAATAAGCCTTACAGAAGGATACTTGTAAGTCATGCACACCCATATTCATAGAACAATTTGATCGCAAATGAGTAGAAAAAGCGAAATAATCAAAACTTCTCACGTTCAGAATTTGTTTGTTTTTTGTTAAAATGGAGAGAATCAGAAAAGGAAGTGATCTATGAAAAGAAAAGCAGGGGTCACCGTGCATCCAAGAGAGTAAAATCCTCGCCAAGTTATTGAAGCGGCCTCCAGCTCTATATTTGTCCAGTTCCATTCTCAGAGCGCGCGCTGGATGCATCGTGCGTGCGGCATGAATAGCGTGCGCAGTAAGGATGCGCACTAGCAATGGGCACGAACGTCCTTAATGGACTTAATAACAATACTTCTTTTTTTCGTTCTATGCTAATGCAATACGTCTCAAAATTGACTCCCGTCTGGTCGCATAAATATCAACGAGTATTTGATGGACTTTGTCTCACAATATTGGTACCTGTATTTAGTACAATGGACGTCGAGGGTTCTTTAATGACTAAAATTAAGGCGTAAATATTCGCTAGCTTTTGTTTCTATTGTCCTATCGAGAATAAAATATCAAGAAACATTAATCATCAAAATTACTGTCTATGAATGAAGTATTGAACAATTAAAGAAGTGTAAGAAGAAAAAGCCAAAATCGTGTGTGTAGTCATTCTGTTATGCAAGCAATGTGATATCTTGACAGTTAACACACTGGTATTCAGTGTAAATCAACTAAAGTAAATAAATAATTTAGAGTGATTTCACTAAACCCGTGAAATAGTTACTAAACTATTAGATACTATTAGAAACTAATTCCATTGTTTTCTTTTGTTTAGTTTTGACTATTACGCATGCACTAACTGTTAGATATTGTTTCACGAAAAAAGAAATCACTCTAAAGTGATATGTATACAATACAATACTTTATTTAACGTGGATACATGCTTAGCTATAAACAGCTAAATTACAGATGCTCCAATACTAAAATAAGAGATTAAAAAAATTATATAAGAATGTATAATTTATTATACATTTTTAATATACATTGTGACAGAATAGCCCTATATAAGGGAGTCTCAATAAAGTGTATGTATGTATGTATGTATGTATGTATGTATGTATGTATGTATGTATGTATGTATGTATGTATGTATAATCTAAAATGTTAAAATGATCTACCAAAAAATATTATCGTGTCTACTTTGTTAAAATACTCTGTTATTTTACATCTATTTTACATCATTTTTGCCAACCATGGCCCTGATTTCATTTGGTAGCTTGTTGTTTTGTAGCAAAGTATTTACTTTTGGCAAAGCCAACATATTTTGACCCCTAGGATTATATCTACAATTTCTTAATGAGACTAGGTTCTTGATGCTTGGTGGGGCTTTGTTACTTAGGCAGTTATTTATAGTACACAACATGTCCTGAATTCGTCTATTTTCCAGTGTCGTCTGAGAACCCATTCGTTTCAACAGTTCTTCGTATGACGATTTTTTATCTTTAAAAACATAACGTAATGCCCGTTCATTGACTTTTTCCAGTTTTTTTTTTTTAGTGTTTCGTTTAATTTCCCGCAATGGTGCCAGACTTGAGAACAGTAATAAAAATGTGGCAAAATAAAAGAACGATACAGCGACTGTTTAGTTTTTAACGGTAAAATGGTCTTTAGTCTATTAAGGGCATTAACTTGACTGCTAACTTTTCGACGTACGCTTGCAACATGGGCGTCGAACTTTAATTTGCTGTCTAATGTCACGCCCGTATAAAAACTTATCACCGCTGAAATTAGCATATACATAATTACTAACCTCACCGCGACAGGGCTGAATAACGTCTGCGCATGCCCCAAGCGCTTGCCAGGAAACCATAGCAACAACATAGGTAAAATGGCGGAATTTTCAAAAATACGAAACACTGCAAAGGTTTTCGCCTAGGATAAGAGTTTGCCTGTAAAGTTAAGCTTTAAAATCTTGCAGTGGATCCGCCTGTTACTGAGTGAAAACATATCTTTTGAACACCAGGGTTTTTTTTCTGAACACTCACTGAAAAATAGCCACGAAGTGCCCCACGATGTCAGAGTCCACGACAATGCAGAAACGAAGTAGTAATGATATACTCAAGTTTTCTCGTATTCTACGGCATTTCATGGCGAAAAATCTTCGATGTAAACTCGTGTGTGTTCAAATCATTATTTGCGAAAGTAGGAAAAGGAAATATTCCCGTTTTGGAGCGGAAATAAAAGACATTTATCTCTCCTTGCCGTCGTGTTTCAAAACCACACAACAACACGTTCGCGCCAAAAATTTGCTGTTGCTGTCATGAAATCCCGCACATGCGCAGACGTTATTCAGCCCTGTCCCTCACCGCATCTAAAGAATGCGAAGAGAGCGCTGACGTCAGTGACCTCTTACTACACCTTACTCCTCACTCTTTCGAAATGTTGATGGACAGTTTTCGCTTTCACTTATTCACCTTACAAAAAAATTCTGATGCACTCTTAAATACACGAACGTTTTTAAATTTACTTAACTTGCCCAGTATTTTCGCCCAAACTCAAATTGAAAGCACACAGCGGTTCTTCACAATGTACCATAAGGCTATCAATATGGGACATTGGACTTTCATCCTTCCCGCTTGTGACGTATGAAATTTGAGACTCCACAAAATAGGTTATATTACTGTGCGAATCAGAAAAGCGTGAACACTTTGATTTAAGATTTTCTTTTGCCAAAAATTGGTCTGTTTTCCCTGTATTTATTTTATTGCTATTTTAGCTTTTCTACAAAACCAAAGTGTAAATTTGAGTTTCCTGACTATTCTTGACTATTCTTCTTGCAGTTTGATCATGTCAAAGTTAAATCAAAGTGTTCACGCTTTTTCTATTCGCACAGTAACTCACAATTTACGAGAGAGGTTAAATCCTGTTTTTCTAAAAATTTAAACTTTTTGCTTTTTACGATGAAACCCTTCCAAAATCTTTGCCGTTTTAGCATTTTTATATTTTTCTTGATTTTTTTAAAACAAATTTGGAGATTTTCTGACATTTCTGAACAATTTAGAAATCCAAGATTTTGGATCCAAGATGGCGGATTTTTTTATGTATGACGTCATTATGGCGTGTATGACGTCACCATTGACACGTGACTGCCACTAAAATAAAGATTTCCGATGCTTTACACACCATGTAATTTTCATTTTCATAGCGTCAATACTTTTCGAGATACATAGGTGGGGCACTATCTTACCCTCAGGCTCACGAACGAAGAAAAAGCCCGGGCAGAATAGGGTTAAGAATATCAACACAATTTCGTTTTGATCACTTTATCGATTCTTGATTACGTAGTGATGTAAATAGATAAGTTTTATTTGTTTTATTTTATTTTTGTATCGATTCCAGCAACATGCAGTTTTCGACAAAAAATAAAGACAATGATCAATGGGATGATGACTGCGCTGTCACAGGAGCCTGGTGGTACAACACATGTCATTGGTCCAACCTCAACGGACTGTATCTTGCAGGACCACATGACACGTTTGCTGATGACATCACCTGGAAACCCTTCAGGGATTTTTATTATTTGCTGAAACGCGTTGAGATGAAAATAAGGCCCAAAGTGTAAACAGCAAATAAAGAGAGATTATTAAGCATCACCTTTTTTTATCTCGAATGTCAACAATCCCACTTCTGCCGTCTGTCGTTTGCAGTTTCTACGTGGAAGTGAGTAGTTTTCCGCGTGTGTCGTGAATGTGTGAATTTTTTTTTTTTTTTTCTGGTAAAGAAAAAGTAAAGAGAATCAACTGCAAGCTGACGTTGCCGTTTCCCGTAGAACATGATGCTTACTAATCTCTCTATTAACTTTAAAACTACAACCGGCTGATCAGGTGTTACTAATACGGAGTAAGAATTCTAGAGGCTCAATATCGTTTTTTAGCGCGCGTCCAGAAATAGGCACACATAGCGTACATGTGGCTACCGATCTTCGTTTTGTAACAAGTTGTTCAAGATGGCACTTATTGGAAACATATGCCTTTCCTTACTGAACCGCCGGCGGCGAAGAAGAGTACTAACAAAGAAGAAGAGAAAGTCTATAGCTAGACAATAGCTGTAGAAAGTTTAAACAAAATCCGTGTATGTTATTTCGCATACATTTAATGTTTTTTCCATTTTTACATGCTATG